ACACCCACACACACACACACACTGCCCTGACCGTCGGCTGACAGACGGGCCTCCCGTCCTGACTGGCCAGCCATGGCCATGGCTCATCCTGCCCACCCGGGGTGTGGCCATGTCACATTGGCTACGACAAGTGGAGCCGAACGTCTGGGCTCCTGACAGGCCCTTCCACCTGTGCAGCAGGGGGAGGAGGGAACGCTGTGCGCGGAGTTGGGCGCAAAGAGGTGAAGGGGGCCTGCTGTGCAGAGTCAGTGCCTGCCAGCCCTTACCGCTCTCGTCGATGCAGATCCCGTACATGCGGAGGATGTTCGGAGACTCAAACTTCTTCATGGTTTCAATCTCCTTCCGGAAAATCTCCCTCACTTTCCTGCAAGAGCGGCCAGGCTGGGTCAGCCCAAAGGTCCATCTGGCCCATTGTCCTGTCTGCTAGTGCCAGATGTCCCAGAGGGAGTGAACAGAACAGGGAATCATCCAGTGATCCCTCCCCTGCCACCCATTCCCAGCCTCTGACACACAGAGGCCAGGGTCACCATCCCTGCCCAGCCCAGCTAACAGCCATTGCTAGATTCATGGAGGTTGGTTCTATCTAGCTCCTTTTTGAACCCTGTTAAAGTTCTAGCCTTCATCACATCCTCTGGCAAGGAGTTCCACAGGTTAACCATGGGTTGTGTGACTAAAAACTTCCTTTAGTTTGTTTTAGACCTATTGCCTGTTCATTTCATTGGGTGACCCCTAGTTCTTGTGTGACGGGAACAAGTCAATCACTTTCCCTTCTTCGCTTTCTCCAGCTCAGCCATGATTTTACAGACCGTGATCCTATCCCCCCTTGGTCTCCTCTTTTCTAAGCTGAAAAGTCCCTGGCTTTCTCTCTCTCTCTCTCTCCCCATGTGGCAGCCGTTCCAAACTCCTCCTCATCTGTGTTACCGATCCAAAGGGAGGCCGGGGTTCCCAGTCACCACAGCTCTTCCTGCAGCGGCAGCAGCTGGAGTCCAAGCCTTTGCATGGCAGCTTGGGGATTTGTGTAGTGCTGCCTAACACCAGGTGGGCCCCCACGTCAGCCTTAGCAGGGAGAAAGCAACGCTGCTTTGCCAGTCGCCTGCTCAAGAGCCCCCTTTCTTCAGAGGCAAGCCCTCTCCCCAGGATGGAGGGGGAGGGTGACAGCAGGTCCCTCCTCACAGGGGCACTCTTGGGGGAGGCCCTCAGTGGCGCTGGGACAGGTTTTGGAGTTGGGGTGCTGAGCTGCACACACACAGCCCTTACCCCGTCTGCACCCCTCACCACCCCCTAGAGCTGGGCCCCCGAGGAGGTGCCCCGAGGCATGGGACCGGCAGGGCGTGGTGGGCTGGAGCACTAGTGAGGCACAGGGAGCTGGTGGCAAGGCTGAGCGAGGGGCAGGGTGCTGCAGCACCCCTCGCATCCCTGCCTCCCACGCCTAGAAGGACCATTGCTGAATAACTCACTCCGTGCAGGTGATCACTGGGTTTTTGAAGACTTTGATGGCCACAGGGTACTTGTAGAATTCGCCTTTGTAGAGTGTGTGGCTTTTGGATTCCATCAGGAAGGTCCACGGGGTCTTGGTGAGATCCTCCATCCTAATCTCAGTGACTTCCTCCCTCGGGACGGCATTGTCCTTCTTCATGACTGCGTCCTGCACTGGGACAAAGAGGGGGGGTGTTCGATGATGCGCTCAGTAAAACCTTGGGCCAGCAGCAGCAGGGCTGGGGGGGGACCAGGGCCAGCCAGCCCTCAGCAATGGCCAGACCGCGGTGCACCCTCTCCAGCCCGGGGAGAGAGAGCGGCAGGCTGGTCACTTACGCTCTTTCATCATTTGGCGAACTTCTTCCACCTTGCTTCCCACATCCTCCACCTTGGTGCCCACGTGCTTGAGGTCACTGTGGACATTGTCCACTGCATCTTTGGTCTCTCTGCTCCCTGGGGGAAGGAAGGAGCAGACGGGCCAGGCCGTTAGGTGCTTGCCCATCGCCCCTGAGGTTTGCTGCATGGCACGTGACCCTTCCACCCGGTCTGGGCACGGGCTGAGGGGATGTGCCCGGGCACTGGGCTGTGGGGATGCCAGAGAGCAGGGGGCTTAGCGGGGCAGGCCCGTCAAGCTGTTCATTTTTCACCGTTGGTTTTCTCTTAGCAGCTCCAGAGCCAGTGTGCTTAGTGAGCCAGGGGAAAGCGTCTCTCCTGCCAGCTTGGGCCTGAGAGTCGCTGGGGTGTTCCCTTCGTCCGCGGTGACATGGAGACTCAAGTCCTGCCAGCCAAACTGGGCCCTCAGCAACCCTGTCCCAGCCCGATTGTCTTCAGTGTAACTGACTGGAACAGAAGTAAATACTGCCGCAGGTCTGGTCACCTGTCACCATGGGACCGACGCGCTGAGGCAGACGAAGGACCCACTCCAGCTCCTTCTGCTCTCACTGGGTGACTCGGCACGGGCAGCGCACGGGTGCAAAGCGAGAGACCCGCTCACTGTGAGCGCCGTGCTCTGCCTCCACACACAGCGGCAGCAGGCCCGTGGGGGGCCCAGGGACCACAGGCCCCGC